AAAGATAAATTCATTGATTTTCAAACTCTAAAATGTTCCCTTATTTTCTGTAGATTCAGAGACCTGATAAGGGAAGGACACAGGCTCAGATCTCTTTCTTCCCCCCTATGCCAGAGAAGCTGCGCTTGAATGTTTACAAATCATGACTGGAGAACAAGGATTGACAGATTTGTCTCTCATCAAGGAATAAATATTTCAAACTTTATTCACCATATATGTAGTTTATTTTTTTTTGTTTTTTTTTTTTTTATGGAGGATGTTTTTTTATTTTTTATTTGTTTGTTTGTTTGTTTGTTTGTTTAAACATGCACTGGGTAAAGTCAGAAGCACGGGAGGGTGAGAGAATTCACCAGAGCCAGAGTGGGGAGCAGCAGAGCCAGAGTGGGGAGCAGAACAGGCAGAAGGACCGAGTACACTGCTGAGGGTAGCAGCGGCCGGCAGGAGAGGTCTGTGTGCTATGTGGGACACTCCTCGGGTGGCCGGGGAGCACCGGGAATCGAAGTGGCGCCGCAGAGGCCGTGGGCAGCTTCACAACCCAGAGCTCAACTGCTGAGCCCCGGGGAGGCCCTATTGTAGTTTCTTTTGCAACTACTAAAATCTGCACTACAGCAAGGAGATAGCCAAAGGCAATTAACAAATGAAGGTGGCTAGTTTTTCATTCTATTTACAAGGTTGAATTTAGCCTGAGGGTGTCATTTCCTTGTTCTAAGGAAATAATTCCCTTTTCTCCACAATTCTACATCTTGGGTTTGCTCCATGAATTTTGAAGTGGCGGAATTTAGGATGACTTAGAAAATTTGCATCAAAATGTGGGTCTTTGAGCAACCCTCATCCATCTTGTAGATTATGACTCCCATGTATTAGAGCAAAACTGTAAAGAACACACAGCAGGGCCTCCCCGGTGGCGCAGCGGTTTGAGCGCTGGGTTGCGAAGCTGACCATGGCCTCTGTCGTGCCAGTTCGATCTCCGGCTGCTCCCTGGCCATCGGAGGAGGGTCCCACATGGAGCACAGACCTCTCCTGCCGCCCACTGCTCCCCTCAGCAGTGTACTTCGGTCCTTCTGCCTGCTCTGCTCCCCGCTCTGGCTCTGGTGAATTCTCTCACCCTCCTGCGCTTCTGACTGTACCCAGTGCATGTATAAACAAACAATGAACAAAAAAAAAAACCAAACAAATAAAAATAAAAATACATGCCTCTTTAAAAAAAAAGAACACACAGCAATCAGAATAAATGTCCTCTGAAATTAAGACCTTTAAATGTCCCTTCATATGCCATCAGTTGATTCCATTGTTTTTAAAAATTAACTGCTGAGAGAGAAAACATCTAAAAAAAGAAAAGTATGAGGATTGCATAGAAGAGGGCAA